CACTGTTGCTACTCGGGGGGGAGCCAGCTCTGACTGAACAAAAAGCAGAAATACAAAGTGTGGAAGCTGAAGGATGAAGAATGAGCCCCTAGATGACCTTTTGGCACTTGCTCATCCCAAAAACTTCAGTGTCTTTTCCCCACGGCATCCCCCCAGGCCATTTCTATGCCCTGCACGTTGATGGCAGGCAATGAGTGACACATCAGCTGCTGCAAACCCAGAGCAGCTCATCCTCCCTGATTTCTTCACCTGAACTCCCACAGAACCTCCCAGGCTCGAGCCACTGAACTCATCATCTCCCCAGAAGGGATGGATTGGACTCTCAGTGTGAAGGGCCAGCACCTCAGAGCACACTCCAGGAATGCCCTTCTCTCTGCCAGACCCTTCAGAAGCTGCCAAGGCTTGATTTGATTACTCCTAATTAGCAGAGCCACTCTGGTCACACGCACAGGGTTCGTGAGAGGAGAGCACAGAGGATGGGCCATATGGCAGTGCCTTAACCCTATTAAACACACACACAGAGGAGGAAATGCCACTTTACCTCCAAGGAGTACAGGTATCCGGGGTTCTCATGCATCAGGTAAGGCCACCAGAGGTTTGGGTTGAGGACTTTGAGCTCTCCCACTGGGCCATCACCTGTAGCAACCACCTTCCCCTCTTGGTCACATAAAGTCAGGGACAAGGAATAGTCTGTGCTGCCAACCACTGACACCTGGTACTGCACCGTGGCTGCCTCAGAGGAAACAAAAAACAATCACAGACTGCAAGAGCACAGCTCAGCCTCAGGAAAAAGCCACTAGGAAACAAATTCAATCAGACTCGTGCAGGATATTTTCCCTGTGCCCTTGTCACCTCCATCTGGAGGGATGCTGAGGGAGCTGCTGAAATTGCTCTGGACCTACCAACACTGTCTGATGAAGTGGTTGTCACAGTGATATCATCGATGTAGGCAGCAGGAGTGGTGTAAAGCACAACTGGGCGGTGGATTCCAGCATAATTAAAGAAATCAAACTTGGTGTCCTGCACAAAATAGTTCCTGGGGTACCTGAGTGAGCAAGACAGGAGAACTGGCTGCATTACACTTCATTACACAGCTGAAGGCAGCATGGCAGTGCAAAATAATAATGGAAAATATCTCCATGACAGGCTGGATCTGTCTTTCAGCTGCTACACTGAAGGATTTTGCAGTTAACAAAAAAGATCTTGATTCTTCAGGAGAGCTGGTACTTGCAGCTTCCAGCTGAATCCAAGCTTCTCAAACCTTTCCTTGATTCAGCTTGACAAATCACCCAATCTGAGCCTCCTGTGCACAGAACAGATGCAATAACTCACTGCTGATTCCTCACAACACCATAACTTAAACTCCTCGCTGCTCCACTGACAAATTCACCATAAAAACAACCCCATGGAGAGGTTTATGAACCAGCAGCTGAATAAACTCCCTCTCTCCAGCAGCCCAGCAGTAAAACACCCCAGAACTCACCTTGATTTGTCAGCCATGTACTGGATGGAGCCCGGGGGCAGCGTGTGGGGGGTCAGGGTGTTGTTGAGGGCGAGGGTGATGCGGCACAGGGTGCCTGGGCTGCCCTGCACCACGCTGCTGATGTCGGCCTCGAAGGGCAGGTGCCCCCCTTCGTGTTCCACCACCTGCACCCCGTTCACCCACTGCAAGGAAAGACCCCAAAAAAAGGGGTTATTGGGATTTTGAGGCAAGCAGAGCACAGAGAAGGGAAGTCCAGTTACAAGGAACACCCAGGCTCTTGATCCTCAAAGGATCTTTGAGGGATCTCCCTTTGCTGGGGGCTAGGTCTGGGTCACATCAAGTGCCACTGAGGGACAGTTTGGGGCAGATCCATTAATCGGGAAGTGTTTAGTTACCAATCCCAAAACTGCAGGATCAGAGAAATTTGAATTCATTCTTGCTGGGGGAAAACCAGCACGAGTTCAGAAGGGGATGCAAAATCGAGGCAGGGACACATTTGCTGAACAAACCATAAAACCGCCTTTAGTCCAGCCTAATTTAGGAAGCACAGGGCCAACTCCCCGAGGCACTCACCACGATGGAGTAGTAATGGGCACTGCCAAAGCGCAGCACCACCCTGGGGGCGGGATCGCCCTGCAGCCAGCGCAGGGGGAGCAGCACCTCCTTCTCGTACCACACCCAGCCGATGTAATTCTCCAGGCTGGGGTCCTGAGTGATGTCGTTGAAGCTGGCCGGCACTGGCATGTCAATCACAGGGCCGGTCTGGCAGGAATTGCATGGAAAAAGAAGGAATAGAGTGTTTAAAAAGAGGAATTTTACTGTTGGAGGTGTCCCCTTCCACTAACAGCCTTACAATGCCTTTGCCAAGGGGAAATACTTGGGAAAAGCTGTTTAAAAACTGCTGAGATCTCTCACAGCTCCTGTACAAACCCTAATTAGCACCAGGCACAGGAACCTGCCTGTTCCTACAGGAAGCAGCTGCTCCTTTCTTTTCCTCTCCTGCTGTACAATGAAATGTTTTCATTAATGGCTCTGGAATCATGGAATCAGAGAAGTGAGGGGAAAAAACCCAAGGTTGTTGTTTCAGTGGGAATTTTCTCCTGCACAGCTCCAGAGCAATGTGGGGGTTGTGGTGCTGGTTATCATCAGAGAGCTGTTGTAAAAGAGTAACAAAATAATAGATATTTTGGGATATTTTTCTCCCACTGTAGACTCTTTGGGATGAGCTCAGCCTTTCTCACTGAAAGCAACAGAGATTCCTTGGGATTACAACAGAACCCATTCAGTTGCTTATTCCAATATGAAGATTATAGGGAGGCAGTGTCACAGTACATTGAATATTGAGGAATCCAGATGCTGTTGCCAAATAGAGCTGCTAATTTTCAGCACTTTTTGCACTCAGGATGTTGCACAAAAGAGTTCTGCAGCTTCTCCTTTCCTGGGGAAGCCTCAGGGAATGGAATGAGGAAGGTCTGGACGCCCAGGGTGGGCATCACGTGCATGGCTGACTCAGCGCTGGCACTGCAGAGAGCCCAGTGCCTTCCTCAAAAAATCCTGATGGGAAAATCCTTGGATAGGGAAGAGGATTTTCTAGTATCTGCTGCAGGAAAACCTTTGCTTGTGCTGACCAGAACCTGTGTGTCCTTCAGGGAGGCTCTCTGAGGTCTAAAACAGGTTGAGTGCACTCATCTAAGCCTCCCTTGGAGGGGGTATATTTCAGGATTCCTCTCCTCTGGCAAAACTTCCAGCAGAGGAGTGCCCTTCATCTCTTCTCTCCTTCCACAATCCAGCAACAAAATCGGCCAAAACGCTAAAAACAGAAATAATGAACGACTTATCCATTTTATGCATAAAATCCATAACTCCTTTCTGTCAGGTAATGCAATTAATTTCCAAGCAGATCTCAAAACGTGTCCACCAGCACTCTGAAACTTTGGAATAAACCATTCCCAGTGCCCTTTCCAGGCATTTTTTTGCTGATTCTGTGCTGCTGGAAGCTCAGCGCTGTGCAAGGCTCCTGCAGCACGAACACCGGAGGTGAACGGGGTTCATCCGAACGGTGTCTGCCCCCGGAGCGGCACCAGGGGCATCATTAGGGGCTACTAATTAGGAACCGCCTCAAAAAAAAGCGGAGCAGGGCCAGCACCGCGGGGCGAACGGCAGCGACTGGGGAGGGGGAAAAGGCAAGGAAAGAGGAAGAAAGTGGAAGAAAGAAGCTCCCCCGGTAGGGAGGGGAAGGAGCGCAGCCCGTGCCCGGGGATGGGCAGTGCCCGCCCGCTCCCCGCTACCTGCCGGAGCGGCCGCCGGTACCAGCGCTGCGCGAACCCGGCGTCCCTGCCCGGAGACAGATCGGCGCGGAAGCTCCAGAGCCCGCCGAGCTCCCTGCGCTCGCGGGAGGGGCTGTCCCGGGGCTGCAGCATCCCGGAGGGACCGGCCGCCAGCCCCGGGAGGAACAGCAGCAACAGCGGCAGCACCGGCATAGGGCACAGCCCGGCACCGGCACCGCGTGAGGCCGCCAGCGCCATCTTGGCTGTGGGCGGGGCCAGGGCCGAGGGCGGGGCCAGGGCTGAGGGAAGGGCGGGGCCATGACTGGGGGCGGGGCCAGGGCTGAGGGAAGGGCGGGGCCGGGGCTGAGGGCGGGGCCTGGGCTGAGGGAGAGGCCAGGGCTGAGGGTGGGGCAGGGTGTGATCCCGGTCCTGGTCCCGATCCTGATCCTCATTCTGGTCACGATCCCTGTCACTGTCCCGATCCTGATCCTGGTCACGATCACGGTCCCGATCCCGGTTCCTGTCCCGATCCCGCCCGAGCAGGATGAACGACGGCAGAGCCCGACAGAGACCGGGCCCTGTCCCACGGTCGCCTCCGGACAAAGCCACGAGTGTCCCGGCGTAAAGGCGCCTCCAGGAATCTTCAGGCTCTATCCTGGATCACTGGATTTCATCGAGCGGCGAGTCCTTTCCTTTCCTTTCCTTTCCTTTCCTTTCCTTTCCTTTCCTTTCCTTTCCTTTCCTTTCCTTTCCTTTCCTTTCCTTTCCTTCTTATTTATTACTTAGGCGTTTAAATGTGTTTATCACCTACTTCTACTTATTTATTCATTTGCTTATTTATTTACACATTTATTTATTTACTACAAAATCATTTAGGTTGGAAAAGACCTCCGAGGTCACCGAGTCCAACCTATGACCCCACAGCACCCTGTCACCCAGAGCCACATCCACTCTTCCCTTAAACACCTCCAGGGATGGTGATTCCACCTCCCTGATCACCCTTTCTGTGAAGGAATTCCTCCTGATGTCCAACCTGAACTTCCCCTTTAGCACAGCTTAGGTTTACTATTATTATTATTATTATTATTATTATTATTATTATTATTATTATTATTATTATTATTGCTTGATTACTTTTGGTTATTTCTTTATTGCCTGCTTGCTTACTTCTATCTCTTTTCAGAGTCACTTATGGAAGCGCGAAGGTTAAAAGTTATTGGAAATGGCAGAAATTTCAGCAGAGTTTCAGCGAACTACAGACACCCCAGTGTTTATTAACTCCAGATCAGTGGCACAGGCACAACGCTGCAGGCACGGCATCTCTCCCCACACTCTAAGCCTGTTCCTTGAGCCTCTTGAGCAGCTCCCGCAGCTGCTCGATCTGGGCGGACACGCTGCTCTTGGCGGTGCCGCCCGCGGCCGTGTACTGCTCCACGCTGCTCACCACGCTGAACACCTGCGCCACATCGCTGCCAAACAGGGGGCTGGGGGCACGGGGGGGCTGTCAGGGCGCTCTGGGCTGCCAAACAAGGGGTTTTGGACGCTTTGGGGAGTTGGAATAACAGAGGTACAAACCTGATGTTCTGCAGCTCCTCCAGGCTGAGGTGGTTGATGGTGATGCCTTTGGTCTCGGCCAGCTGGACGGCCTTGCCAGAGGCCACGTGGGCTTGTCTGAAGGGCATCTGCAGGGGGAAGGGGACAGAGCACAGGGGACTCAGCTCAGTTCCTCTGCATCCAAAGAAATCCCTGCTCCAGCTCTCCCTCTGGCACTTACTCCCTTCCGAACCAGGTAGAGAGCCAGGTCAGTAGCCAACATCTCTGGGCTCAGCGCCCTCTCCATGTTCTCCTTGTTGATCTGCAGGAGAAGGATCCCAGGGACACATTACCATCAGCTCCTCCTTGGGGTATGTTAGTGTTCAGGGTGAGGGGAGTTCATCTGGAGTTCTAAAAGAATGCTCTAAAACCCTGAGCAGCTGGCAGAGGAGACCAAAATTAGCAGTGTGGGTGAGGCACTGAAGAGCTTTTATTTGGGAACAATTTGGAGCTCTGCTCTCTGTGTTACTCACAGAATATACACCATGATGATGTTGAATAGTGGGAGGATGAGAAGAATCCTTACCTGGAGGGTGGAAATCACTCCAGTGGCAACCTGGAGCACAGCATTCAGGGTGTCTACGACATCAAAGACGGCCTCCTTGTCCTCCTGTGTTGGAACAGTGATGGAAATGGCTCTGAGCCAAGCTGGTGCAGCACAACAGGCTGAGCAGCCCAGCAGCAGAGCAGGGGTGTGATCCCAGAGGCTCCTGCCACAGCACTCAGGGTGTCACCTGCAGCATCCCCTGCCTCAGCCCCTCTCCCAGCACACAGCCAGGGGCTGTGCAGAGAAATGGAGTGCTGGGACAGCTCAAGAGTAGGAGATAACTGTGTCTGCTCAGAGAGATGGTGTGGAGAGGAACAAGAGCTCTACCTGCAGGTCCTTGTTGTAGGTGCTTGGGAGTCCTTTGAGCACCATGAGAATTGCAGCCAACTGCAGAGGGAAACAGGAGAGGCAGGGAGTGAGATACAGAGCAAAGCACAGCCCCAGGACAGCTCCAGAACCCACAGCTCTTTATAAAACAAAGGGCAAGAAAAAGGAGATTCTCCAGCCCCAGGAGGAGCAGTTTCCTCTCCCTCTTGCTCCTTTTTGGGGCTCACCCGTCCGAACACTCGCCCGGCTTTGCTGCGGATCAGCTCCAGACTGTCGGGATTCTTCTTCTGAGGCATCAGGCTGCTGCCAGTGCTGCAGGGAAGGTGTGTGAGTGCACTGGTGAGCAAAACCCTCTGGCTGAAATCCCTGATGCAACCCTCTGAAAGAAACCTCTAAATCCCCTTTCCTTGTACTCCTGTTCAGGGTGTAGGAAATCAGTGAACTGAGTGTGCCGAGTTTCTCGTGTTTCCCACAGCATCCTGTCTGGAGCTCCCACAGTCCCACCTCTCACAGAAAAAAGGAAAAAAAGGGCTCTCCCTCCAAGGCTCTGCAGGGGTGGTGTTAGCAGGCCAGGCTAAGTGATCTCAGGGAGGGAGGGCTGTGGTTGTGCCACCCTGCAGACAAGGAGTCTGTTGGGATTGCAAACCCAGCCAGGCAAGGAAGGGCTCTGGCAGCATTCCCAGCACAGCAGGAAGTTCTCTCTGCCAGCAGCTCCTGGACAGGAGTTACTGGGCTGAACACAGACTTGGTTGAGTTAAGGGAATCAGAAATAAGTGACCACTACTGAGGAATATTCACCCTGAGGGTGCCTTTGTGCCAAGCCCTTGATGCTGGGTCAGCCTCGTGCACAGACAGACCCCAAACACTGCCTCACCCTCCCAGGCTGGGACAGCTGATGGGGAGAGGCTGAGGGAAGAGCTCTGCCCAGAGCTGAGACCTACCTATAGGCATCAGAGAGGGTGAGGAAGCCAAACTCGCTGGTGCTGTAGATGATGAGATCCTCGGCCATCTTGCTGAGGTGGATCATCAGCAGGGTGGCAGCAGAAAGGAATTCCACTGCAGGGAAGGCAGGAAATCAGGAGGGGGAAAAGGTGCTTGGACAACCCAGGGAGCCCTGACTGGGGCTTTAGTTCCTAATGCTGGATTTCAGCCCCTTTCTTAAGTGAACTGCAGAGGTGTCAGGAGCTGCTTCCCGCAGTGCTGGGAAGCTTTGGCTGTGCTCACCCACAAAGTCCCTCTCGCTGACGGCATCCATGCTGTTCAGGCTGATGGAAGCAAAGTCCAGCTCTGCAAGAAGGGGATGGACACAGGAGGTCACACTGGCCCTGGCAGGAGCCTGAATGCCCCAGGCTGCCCCAGTGCTGGTGACATTTTATCTATTCATTATCCTCCACTCTCTTGTTAAAATGCTGCAACACATGCAAAATAACATCAGGACAATGCACTGATCCTTCCCAAAAGCCCAGGTGTTATGAGTAGTCCCATTCGTCCATCCCAGGGAGACATTTACCACTGCACAGCAGCTCTCTATCGATTCCCAGGGGGTTTCCAGCCAGAGCTCCACTGCCAGGGGAGAAAGAACCAAAAGTCACACATGATATCCAAACTGATATCTGACCAAAACTGAGCTCTAGTGATCACACCTCTCTCTCCCCCAGTTCACTTTGATGTCACAGTGTGGTCTGAGACTCATCAAACTCTGAACTCTGGACTAAACCAGAATTTCTCTCCCAAACAGGAAGAGTTGCTCAATGAGAGCCTAGCAAACCTTGATTTTCAAGGAGGAATAGAAAAATATTTCTATGGTGAGTCTTTGGAGAGGGAATCTGGGCTGCAGTGTCTATGGAACAGAAACCCCAGGGCTCAGGGGATGGACACATCTGCCTCTTGTCTTAGAGCAAAGTGAGGGCTGAAGATCACAATAAAAAATAAACTCTACCTTCCCAAAGGCAAGACATTGATCCTCTTTTTTATCTCTCCCAGGCGCTCAGAATCCCGGGTCAGAGCAACAGCGTGGCTGGGGAAGGACAAGCAGGAGAAAGAACATGAAGCCAGAACATGAGCCTGGACATGAGCCAGGGGACGCAGGGAATTCCTGTTCCAGTTTGCAGGGTTTGTCACCATCCCTGGCTGTCCCCGAGGGTGAGGAGGGTGGGAAGTGCTCACCTGAGCAAGAACTGGCTCCATCGGATGGGCTGAGCTTTCTGCAGGTGGGTGTAGCCAGGCAGGATCACATCGATTTCTCTGGGAGGGAAAGGACAGAGAGGTGAGCAGCAGAGACAGGAGAGATGACAGGGACACACCAGGGCTCCTGGCAAGGTCACAAACTGAGCCTCTTTAGCCTGTGTTGTGCTGGTCCATCTCCTGTCAGCTTTCCAGCCAAGCACACTGGGTTTAGCTGTTCCAAATTGGTGAATCTGCTCTGAGCCTCCCTGGAAATCTTCCTGGAGCAGCAGTCCCTCTGTGCCAGGCAAGGACCCCCAGCCCACCCCAGGTCTGGAGTGTGAGGAGCAGAGCCAGACAGGGAGGTAACACAGCTGAGTTTTTCCTCATACAGAAAAAGCTGAAATATTTTCCCCCTGCTTCAGATGAGTTTGGTGCCCTCTAAAATCTTATGTGGACCTCCCAACTCAACTCCTTTGCCAGGCATGAAGAGAAGTTTCTCTGAGGGATGAGGAACGTTTCTGTGAAGTAGACTCTGGAGAAAAAGGGGCTGTTGTGTCCCCTAGGCTACCCCAAACTGCCTGGCTGTAACTCCCAGCATAGAAGACCCTGCTGCTGACCCCAGTGGGGTCACACAAAGGACAAACCAAGGAGTCTCCTGCTCCAAAATACCAAAGTTATGGAAAACAGGGACTGTGGGAAAGAACTCACATGGCAGCACGTTCCACCAGGGTCTTAATGAGCTGCAGGAGGTGTGTGGAGATGATGGAGAGGGAATTCTTCATGAACAGCTTCAGGTCAGTCACAACCTGTGGGAGATTGGCCAAGTCAGGCCACAAAGAATGTCACCTGTTCAGTGACAGCAAAGTAAACCCCTCTTGTCCTGTGTGATGGGAAGGTGCATCTTCTCATCATCTGGTCACATTTATATGGTAGTGACACAATTTCTTGCTCTCCAGGAAAAGTTCCAGAGGCCTCTCTGGACTGAGGTCTCCTGAAGTGAGGTAGAGGAGGAATACAGAAGGAGAAAAAAAAAAAAGATTCTGTCCATACCTGATCATTCCTGCTTCTGCCAGTGTGCAACTTCCCAGCTACATCTCCAATCAGCTCCTGAGGACAAGAACAGCATTTCTGTCAGGATCTCTGTGCTCTAAACAGCACAATCCACACGAGCACATCTCCCTGCCTGCAAGGGACTCAGCTCCAGGATCCTGTGAGTAACCATGGGATGTGCTCTGGGGAAGGGCAGGTTTGGGTTCTGTGCTTGTACAGCCCCAAAAGGGGGTGTGGAGACCCTTGGCTGTGCCCCAGGGAGTTCAGTGCCAGCAGCTCTAAAGGGATTTCACAGAGGGACAGAGGCACAAGCCCTTCATGTCAGGCAGAGCATCAGGAACGAGAGGCTGGAGGAGTCAAACCTTCAGCCTGCGCTCATTAGCAGTGTGGATATCCTCATCAGTCGGGATCACACCAAACACTCCCTTGGACCATTCCTCAGAGATCTGCAAACAGCAGAAACACCACAGTCACCCTGCTGTGCCTGGGGCTGGGAGTGTCCCCAGCACATCCCAGCTCCTGCCATTCCCAGGAGTCTCATGCAAACTTTGCCATTCAGGCTGCTCACTGCATCCTGATATTCCATCCTGCTGGTGGGATTCACCTCTCTATCCATCATAATCCTGCAGTGTTATGGAGGGTTTAAGCATTGCAAGGAAAAATTGAGCCTAAATGTCAGCCATTTCTTTAGTATCATCCACAAAGCTTTTCCTACAAAACATTGCACAGACTCACCGTTGTCCAGGGTGGGTGAGCAACAACAATGAATATTTTATAAAAGCACTTCTTGCTGCCTCCTCTTGCCCCCTACACCTGCTATGCATTGTCTCCTGCCAAGTCAGACTCAAAATTCCATGTGCCAGCAGGAAAAGGATGTTCTTACTTCACACTGAAATGATTCCTAGTGACTGCTCAGTCTGAAGAAGACGAGGACATTTAAAGACACTCTTTAAAAGAGCAAGGTGCTGTCAGATAAGGAAAGATTCATTCCAGCACACGAGAGGTTGTGAAGGGAAGAAATACCTTTTCCAGGCCACTCAGGATCTTCTCCAGCTCAGTTTTGGACAGGATTCCAGCCTTCTCCAAGGCTTTGGCATAAGCCATGCTCCCCTGGATGTCAACTTCAGACAGTCTCTGATCAACAGTAATGGAAGCGCTGAGCATCTCCATGATGGGATCTGTGCTTCCTACAAACCTTCCTGCCATCATTTTGTCCCCCTGGAAGTAATGAAGGGAAGAAACACAGGTTTATGGATATATCCCCCAAAAATCAGTTCGTGTCCATCTCAATCCTTATCAAAGTAAAATTGAGGACCAGCTCAGGAATGGTTTCATTCAGTCTATACCAGCAAAACCCTGGACTTAGAGCGTGTCACTGTCACTAGAATTTAACCCTTGATGTTACAGGTCTGGTTTGGGGATCCTCCAAGGTATTTGACTTCTGCAAAACTCTGAAAATAAGCATCGGGCCATGTGATGCAAGACCAGTATGGAACTCCTTTTTAAGGCAGCTGCTGATCTCTGACCCTTTGAGGGACTCCTGACAAAAAAAAAGGGGAAAAAAAATTAAAAAAAAGGTAAAGGAGTCAGGGATATAGTGAAAGATGTTCTCTGATCCTTGAAATATAAAAAAATCCCACTCTTTTAAGGAGACTAAAAGAAAATATTCAACTGACAAGGAGCTGTGGGCCAGCACGAGCCACACGCCCTGAAACACTTCTGTAACCATAAAGTGTCTGAAGCTACTGCTGGAAGCGGCTCCAGAGCCCACGACGTTGTCATGCAAAATTAGGATAAAACTGCTCTCAGAAAGGGAGGCCTGGGTGCCTTTCAGCGCTACAAATGTTGGGATGAGATGAAAAGGGAAAAGAAAAGCCCAAAGCAGCCCCAGAAGGGCTCGGCAGGTGCTCGGAGCCCGGCGGGCGGCGGAGCTACCATGGACAGCGGGCAGGGACCGCGACAGCGGCAGCGCTTTTCCCGAAGGATTGGGGCAGGGAAGGGCAGGAGGGAGCCTGCAGGGCAGGGTGAGGGCTCGGAGTGCGGGAGCTCTGCCTTTCAAGCGGGTTTGTCCGCAGGAGCTGCCCCAGGGGGGGAAATGGGGGGAAAAAACAAAGTTTTGCAGCTCGGGATGGGCAGAGGGGACAGGGAGTGACGGTGCTGCTGGGAGGGAAGGGTTGGGATGGGAAGAGGTGTCCAGGTACATCTTCGCTGCCAGGATCAGAAGTGGGACGGTGGATTGTCCCCTTGTTTATTGAAACCCGGAAAACCACTCACAGATTCCAAGATCAGCGAGTCCAACACTGCCAGGACCACCCCTAACCCACGTCCCCAGGACCACACGGACACCTTTCCCGAACCCTCCCAGGGATGCTGATCCCACCCGCTCCAAACGGAGCAAAGCCAAGCTCCCCCTCACCTCGGCTGCCATTTCGGACGACGTTTTGCTCGTTTGTGCAGCGATCCTGGCACCTGGTGCAACCTGCGGGACAGCGCGGAGATGCTCACCCAGCTGCTGCCGGGTTCCTCGGGCATCACTCCCGGTGCGCTCCCAATTCCCCGGGCATCGCTCCCAGTGTGCTCTCTGTTCCGAGGGTATCACCCCCGGTGCCCTCCCGGTTCTTCGGGCATCGCTCCCAGTGCTCTCCCGGTTCCTCGGGTATCATTCCCAGTGCGCTCCCAGTTCTCTGGGCATCACTCCCTGCTCCGCTCCTGGTGCCTTCCCAGTTCCTGGGGCATCACTCCTGATGCGCTCCCGTCTCCCCGGGCCCCGGTCCCGGTGCGCTCCCAGTTCCTCGGGCATCGCTCCCTGCCCCGCTCCCGATGCGCTCCCAATCCCCCAGGCACCACTCCCGATGCGCTCCCGATTCCTGGGGCATCACTCCCTGCCCCGCTCCCGGTGCGCTCCCGGTTCCCCGGGCACCGCTCCTTGCCCCGGTGCGCTCCCGGTTCCCCGGGCACCGCTCCTTGCCCCGGTGCGCTCCCGATTCCCCGGGCACCGCTCACCTGCTCCGCACGCAGCCCCGGCCGCTCTGTGGCTCGCTGTTCCCCGGCCCCGCTGGGCCGCTTTTACAGCCCTCGGCTCGGGGCTGGCGGCTCGTCCCGCCCCGCCGGGGCGGGGTGTGCCCGGGGCCGGCCCCGCTCGGGTCCCCCCCGTGTCCCCCGTGTCCCTTCCCACCCCTGCGCTGCGACTCGGGGACAGGGGTGGTTTGGAGAGGGAAGCTTGGGAGGGATGCTCCAGTGATGCTTCTTACCTGGCATAGCTCCTGCGCTGTGGACAGCTCAGGAATGTCCTTGGAATGCTTTGCTGGGAATGTCCCATCACTGTGTGTCACACCCCTCTCACGAGCAGTCTTTAATATAAATATACCACGAGCAATCTTTAATACAAATATACCTGATCCAGTGCTCTGTCCCCATTGCCACCACAGCAAACACAAACTATAGACGGGAGCCTCGTGTTCTTTCCCATGTCTGCATGGATGAAACTGTTCACCCCACCTGGAAAGATGCTGCAGCCCCAGATTTGGGGCTCCCCTGCTGTCCCCAGGCTGTGGGGTCACCTGAGAGCCTCAGGCAGTGGCTGTGGGGCTTGGAGTTATACTTATGGCAATAACCTCTGTC